AGGTAAGATTCCGTGACACTCCCAGCAAAAACAGTTGGGGTCCTACAGATAGCTGACCTAGATTGAACTACAGCTCTAAATCCAGCAGAACTTTGTGATCAGCCTGATCCCTATTTAATATACATAAATTACGTGGGAGTAAACTTCAAGAGATTATTTTCTGGATAAGGGTCCTCTTTGAGCTAGACTGGAAATTATTGCTCAGAGTGAGGTAGAGCAGCCCAGATGGAATCCATTTAAATTTATGCCAGTAGATAGTTGCTCGGGTTTCTACTCTGGTGAAGCTGCATTCTGTCCTAAAGATAATGTTAGCAATACATTTGGGAGTACCAAACCCTAGCTTTGAGAAATCTAGATCGTATGATTTCAAGTGGCCTGAAGTTACTATATGGGCCAAATGCTCCCCCAAATAGAAGTTGTGATAGAATCTTTGCCTGAAGAAGTTTGATGGCAGAAGGCCAACAAACAAACCTTGCATATGGTAGAATTGTAAAATAGCTAAGGTACTCCTTTGTGCAAGAATGGCAACTTAAGTCTCATGGGCAGCCCTCCTCACATTGGCTTTAAATATAGTCCCAAGGTATTTGAAGGTGTTAACTTGCTCAGTTGTGTGGTTGTTGATAGGGCCCCAAGGGCTGTGGGTCTTTTTGAGAAAACCATTATCTTAGTTTTTGTTAACTGATCACCAATTGTTCTTCTGGGCAATTTGAGACAGGCAGTAAAGCTCCCTCTACTCACCTGTCCCCTTAGGAATAGAATAATGGCATCATGTCCATATAGCAGAATTGGGGAATATCTGCCAATCTGAGGCATGAATGTCTATGAATTTTAATCACTGAATCAGAGAATGAATGTAGATGTTGGACAGAGTTGGGCCTAGTATACAACTGTGATGGACCCCTCTAAAGGTAAGCATATAATTGGAGAGGAGTCCTGCTCAATTATATCTGACCTGCAAGGAAGATCCTTCATAGAATTTAATTATGAGCAGCAGAAAGGATTTTTTAGTTGTTGAGTTACTCAACTTGGGCCAAAATAAACAATGCAATATTGAATAGAAACCAAATGAATATTTATTGAAACCTTCAGCCAGAGTGCCTTTTTGAGGCAGTCAGGTATCATGCCAATTGTCTGAAGTTTCTCAGATAAAAGAATTACTGTGTTTTGCAGTAAAAAGAGTATGCTTGCTTAGCATCCCAAACATACCTCCATGATGAATTTCCAAAGGTGGCTTTATGAGCCTACTTCTGAGTCATCTGGAAGGGAAGATTAAGCAGAGTCGGTTAAAGGTATAGATCTTGTGTGTGCAGACTGTCCAAGAGGCTGAAGATACAACATAGCGGATAGTAGATGGAAAGGTTTCCACAAATGTCTCCAGTTCTTTTTTTTTTCTGGCTGGTTTGGGCATTTTTAGCTGCTTTTCATTGCTGTACCTGCCAGGTTGTTCAGGTGAGGGATGTGGTCTCTTCTGAGTTATTCCTCAGGTATAAGATATGAATGTTTAAATAGCCAATTAAAGTCCAAGAGTGTAAAAGATAACTGGCCAATTAAGCAAAGGTATGAAGTAAATGAAATAAGAATAAAAAGCTTAAACCTTAAAAGGGGCAGAAAAAAATTCCATTATGGATCTTCTTAATACCATATTGTCATTTTAGTCCCTCCCCCACTGAGAAGCTAAGCAGGGTCAGACCTGGAAATGGATTTCCATCAGGGTGTTTCAGGTTTGTAAGCTAGACTGGTAAATTGAAAAAAATAACCTGAAAGAAGGGAATTGGAAATCATTTCTGTACTGCTGCCAAGAAAGTTACATGGATGTGAAGTTCAATTTGAAGGAGATTACCATTTTGTAGATTATAGATTATTATTTTTAAATTTAGAGCTTGCATAGATCTAAAAGACTTAAAAGATAAATAAGGAGCATTGCTTGTTTTTCTACATTAGAGGTTTAATATCCTAAAAGTCATTTTGAAATCATATTTACTTGAATGTGTCTTGCTTTGAAACTTCATTGTTTAAATCAAAGGTCTTTCATATGATCTTTGATTTAAACACTGTTTAATTGTGTATAATTGCAAATGTTAATATTTAAATTTTAGGGTAATACTACAAAAATTATATTATTATAGTAATGGAGTTCACTGGAGCCACCTGCCTTTGCAGAGAGAAAGGGCCAGATAGGATGGCTTGCCCCAAGTGCCTAATGGATCTGGAGGATTTTCAGATAGCACACTTGGATTTCTCAGCAATGGGGGTGGTTGTGGTGGTGACAGCTGTTGTGTGTCTTGTTAATCTCTGTAATTCAGAGGCAACCAGGACAGTTGACAGTATTGTCCCTGCACAACCTCTTCCTGCCTGCTGATCTTATCAGTCTCCAGAGATCTCCTTGGTTCTCTGAGGAGCTCTGGGAGATGAAGCTAGTAAAGGCATGACACTGGTAGAAATCAAAAAGTAAGTGTAACAGGACATAGGTATGAACTAAAATATGAGTGTATGCTGCACTAATAAGGATAGCAAAATGGAATTACTTTTCCACCCCCATTGCATCTGTGGAATGTTGGCCAGTTGCACTATTTAGAGTATCTCAGACCCTATTAGGGAAGTATGGGCCAGGCATATTGTGAATAAAATCATTAATAAGAAGCTAAGTGGATGGAAACTAGTGAAATGATAGATGTGATATCTTATTAGGTTACCTAATAAACCTGGTTGGTTTTTGAGCCTGTTAATTTTGAAGAAATGGATAGAGTTCTCTGTGATCTCAGCCCTACCACCTGTGGATTGTGGATTGGATCACTGCCCCATCTGGTTGGTAAAAGTTGCTAGGAAGGAAACTGGGAGCTGAATTCAAAAGATTTATGACAATGGGATTGACCGTCTTTGTTGATGGGGTTGTGTTCCCCCAGAGAGAGCAAGTTCACAGTCTGAAGGTCCTTCTAGGCTCATGGCTCTTTCTTGAGAAACAGATGGAAGCTGTGGTCAGGAAGGCCTTTCTGACCCTGGGGAAAAGAAGGGAGCAAGAAACAGGTGATCCAGTAAAGTTTTAGAGTCACAACTTGACAAACACTACAGTATTATACATAATGGTTGTTCTCCAGTACTCACATTTGTATAATACACTAGATAATTGGTTTTTACTTTAGACTTTATTCATAGTAGATGGTTCAACAAGTCTGAGGCTTATATCTTTCCAGCTGTCTTGTGACTTGGCTGCAAGGAAGTATTTAAAATTCTTCATTCCAGCTTGCTGTATTGTTAAAATAATTTTAATCATATATGTGGTCAGTGAAAACAGGCCAATGTCAATTTGTATTTAATAAAGAAGCTTGTTTGTATCAACTCTAGTTAAAATTAACAATAGATTATGATTTATGACATGGTAAACAGTTTAATTTTTAACCAGAGTCTCACTGATATCTGTTCTCCTAAAATTAAATGAATAAATGCAGCCAATTGTTTTACAAAAATATTACAGCTAAAAAATACAATTTAGTCAAATTGGAAGTCAGTGTTTTTGAAAAACTTTTGATGGCCTTTATTTATAGGACTTTGTCAGACAAAGTTTATAATTCAATATATAATTATGATAGCTTTATAGAGCTGTCTATAGAATGAAAAAAGCAGTATGTAAATTTTAAGCATTAACCTTCACATTTTTTAGATTATATTACATACCAATTATATGCATGTATTGTATATAGGGCAATATTTTTTTAATGAACTGGCCTAAATATTTTTACAGAGCATAAACTACAAGAATTATCTGAGGAAAGAAGAAATTTGTCTAAAGAACTAAAGAAAGTTTTTCAGGAAATACTAGTATTACAGCAAGGTGCTTCAGAAAAATTTCTAGCTAGACAACCTGGTGGTAAGTCAACAATAAATAACCTTGAATAGATGTCTTGACTCAACAAAATAGTTATAAATGCCATCAGAATGGCATTCATCATTGGAAACAGAATGAACTCAATTATGCCTGAAAAAAAAGTTAGTTCCTATTTTTGTCTTAAAATGAAATAAAATACTGTAATTAATTAATTTATATGATAAAAAGATTGCAAAGCTGTAATAGAATCTTGAGAAAATAGGTATTTCTCAAATATCTGTTCTGAGATTTTGAATTTCAGTTTTTATTTTGTACTGATTAGGAGGTCAGAATGGGCACTATTTTTCCTCCTTTATCAAAGAACTTTGTACCTTGTCAGGAAGATTTTTGTGGGTTCCTGAAGGAATATATTTCAGAACTTCACAGAAAATCCTAAAGGCGTTGTGGTACATTTCTTCTATTTTGTTTCTTTGCCCTTAAGACTTGAATTAATAGAGAAAATATTTATATATAATATGAAATTATCCATGTTAAAATGTGTTTGTTCATTATAATTTTCTGATCAATAAGAAGCCTCTAAATTTTAAGAGTTGATTTAAAACCTTTTTTGCAGAAAAGGGGTTATATGAGAAGCAGCAACTGTTACTGGAAAATTTAAAAGGGCTACAAGAAGCTCAGGCTCTTGCAGCTGCCCAACCTGGCAATCTGAGTAGTGTGTTTATGATGATTTCTCATTCTGTCAGCTATAATATTGACCATGTGCATCTGGAATTAAGGTGCTTCATTTGCCAGGGAAAATGGACATGGCTATAGAAAAATTGTTCCTGCTTTAATAGTCACATAAGTAGGACATTCAGCAAACTCTTAGAGTTTGGAGTTTCTTGCTCAGTGTTTTAGCTGACTAACTACAGGTTTTTTCAAGGTATTGGGAGGATGAAATACTTTATGAAAGCAGTTGCAAAAGACTCCGAAGCATTGACAATATGTCATTTCACCTTATTTAATATATGGTAGTTGTGCTGGCTGGGATCCAAACAATAGTTTGTTATTTACTTACAGCAGATATTTTTACATCACTCTTTAGTCATATAGTAATACTTTTTCAAGAGGTACTCACCTGAATTTGATGAAAAGAATATATATAGTAGTTTGGTTTCATGTACTTAATGATGACATTTTCCTCCAGACATAGTTTTATGTAGACTTTAAATAGCTTAGAGAAAATGTCAGACAGTAAAGCAGTTAACTCCTAGATGAACTTCCTGAAACTTGCCTTCCAGTTTAATATACTGCCTCCAGTTATCACTAATGACTCTGGACTGAAAGACCCATAACTGATTATAAATAAGCATCTAAGAGGTCAAGGAGAATTAGTGGACTGCATACATGTGTCTTTCTCATGAAATAGGTCATAAACCAGTCTTAAAACATGTTTGAAATATATTTAGAAACCAAAAGCCATCTAAGAGTTCCTGATATTGCATAGCAAAGTGGTTTGTAATTATATGTACAGACTTAATGATAAACATTGTTTGCCAAATTATTATTTCAAAATATGGTTAAGATCCTGGTTTCTAAGCTGTAATTTGTTTAATGGTGTCAACTTGGATATTAAGACAAAGAACGCTTTGATTATGCACTTTAACTCAGTTAATTTAAGAATCTGTGTAAAAATGCTCATTAAAATGTAAATAAGTGAGATGATATTGAATACTGATTGCAATATTGTACAGCGTATTTATGCATTTTAATATTTTTTATGAATTGATCTGAAATGTTTTTGTAGAGGATAAACAAAAGCAGCTAACTGAGCAAAGGAAACATTTAACTGCAGAGTTAGAGGCAACAGTAAAGAATATTCAAAGAGCGGAACGTTATGCTTCAGAAGTACTTGTAGTTATAAGACCCAGTGGTAAGTAAATAAAATGGCGTATTTATATTTAAAGCTATCTCAATAGGGAAAAAAGGAAGTTCGGGGGAAGATGAAGGTTAATACTAACTCATGACCATCCCCTTCCCTAGTATCAGCTTTGTCTGTGGGTAATTCAGTGGCTTTCTTGGGGCTTTAACTGGGTTACATATTTTCCCACCATTGAACCAGAAATTCGGTAAAGCAGAATTCAAGATCAGCACTAGACAAATGTGACAATGCAGCAGGAAGTGAATGAGATTTCATCTCTCTGCCTTTTTCCCCATATTTGAGTTGTGCTTGATTATATTTAATTTTAATCATGCTTGAAGCCCTTGGCAAAAATTTGTATTGGACCTTAGGTGAAATCTTTTCAGACATTATCATAATATAATAAGTCTCCTGACCTATTATTCATCTAGCAGTGATTGTATTCAAACTTTATACTGCTGAAAAAAAGTGTAATTCTTGCAAAAAAGTGATTTTACTGTCTCCTTTATACCTATTACTGGTACTGTATTATCTTATTTGCTTGTGTGCAACCCCATTTAGTCTTCATGCCCTTCCTAAAGGAGTTACAGTGCAATTATAGATCATACTGACTGGGAGCATGAGGGATTGATACTCTTTGCTGTCCTAATCAAAACTTCACTGAGTAATGTCAGAAAGAATCTTGGCCTGTGAATGGTGCTTCCCTGTGTGTCCCTGGGCAAAGTGGGCAACTTTAATTTGAGTGAAGCAGCTAAAGCAGTCACTATAATCTTTATGGCTCAGAATGCCTCATATAGGCTGCACAATATCATCTATGTGGATTGAATAATATGCTCCACCTTGACTAATTCTGGAGAGCCTGTAAAAACTTTAGTTGTTCCAGAATATGATTACAAGAACTTTAAGAGGTTCTGGTATGCCATTACATACCATGTGTAGAAACTACCCTGGTTATAAATTGGTTTCTTGGCATAATTCAAAACACCCAAAGGATTCCTGCTGCCTAGGATTTGTTGTACAGGTTCTCAGTATTCAATAATAATGGTCATATGTCTGATTAGGACATTCTGTGAATGTTTTTCCTCATGAGGCTCAAAAAACTGTATTTCTATCTTCTGCAAGTCAGTCAGTACTTTTGTTCTGTTCTTCATATTCCTAATCTATATTGCCTTCTGAAAATACTATGACTTTATTTAATATAAATCTCTCTAATGCAAAATGTGTTTGCATTAAAAGAGTGTAATAAAATTTTACTTTGTTATATTTTCATTTGTCTTATTAATTGTTTTACTTTGTACTGACAAATGTGGTATTTGAAATTTCTATTAAGTAATTCATTTTTGAACAAGCTTCTTTATTTTTTGTGTAAGCAATGAGGTCTTCTATAAAATCCCTTAATTTTGCAGACAGGAATCTATATGAACTGTTAGAAAAAAAGTTTGAATTATTGGAAGATTTGGCATCCAATCAAACAGAGCTGCAGGAAATTCAAGCTCTTGCAGCTGCCCACCCAGATAGTACCAATGGTATGTTTTCTGTGTTTTTCTATCCGTGGTAACTATAATCTTAAATTTATATTTGGACTTTTTCCACATGATTGATTCTAGGCAACCTTTGTAGATTTGTTTTGCAATATTATTTACATAGCTTAGTTGTACTAAACCACATCAATATTAGTTAAGGTTTGTATTCAAATAATGCTGCTTTTAAATTATTCAAAATAGTTAATAGTAATTAAGAATAAATAATTGTAGTTAAAATCAACATTAAACAATAATCATCACTAAATAGCAAAATTGGACATATGAACAGATTAATTAAAACAATTAGAAAACCTTAGTTATAAAAAAATAAAATTAGCAAGCAGATCAATGAAAGTGGCATATTGAGATTGCAGCATCAAGATGACAAGGAGAGTTAATAGTTAAGACAATCCCACTGCAAAAATATAATTTATTTAATAATAAAAGGAAAAACACCTGAACAGAGATAAAAAATGAAAATTACACAGGAGTAATAAAAAATGTATATAACTATTTGTTTTAATTATAATCTTAAAGGGAGAGATGGAGTGTTTGTGTGTGTGTGTGTGTATGTATATGTGTGTTTTTATAAATTGTGTGTGTGTGTGTGCGCGCGCAATATTTCTATTGCCATTTTTTTCTCTAATGTAAATTGGGAAAGCGTTTTTTTTCATCATCAAATATTTGTTGTGTGGATTATTGTAATTTTATGGTTTTGGTTTTAACTCTTTTTGTATTCCATTAGAGATATTGCTATGAGATGGCAGCCATATAAATTGTTTAAGTAAATAATACACATTTGCATAGTAGAACCAACACCATGTAAACTGAGTAGAATGAAAAAGTTAACTGATGCTGAATAAGCAGTAACAGGGTATTGCACTTTGACTGAATACAAATAGTTTTGCTGTAGCTTCGACATACCTGTCCACATGTTTCTAATGATTGGCTCCAGATAATACCCAATTTACTACACTAGTCTAAGAATTACTGGAGCAGAAAAGATAATGTCTACGCTCAACTTCTTCAGGAACTGCCTATCTGGTACAGCAACTGTAATTCATAAAATGTAGCCCAATTACTATTAAAATAGCAGAACTATAACAAAGAGCTCTTATATTTTCAAGGGGAATTTAACTGCATCCTAGACAAGCCATATATCTATTCTGAGACTGTCTACCAACATGGACTGTTTAATTATGTTCAAGCTAAAGGTTAACTTAGCCAGAAAGCCAAACACTCAATGCAATATGAAAATAATAACATGAGGAACTTTATAAGATTATTTTATGAATTACAGCTTTGCTGTATGAAACAGTATAAATGAAGTAGTCTAAAATGCAACAATACACATGCACATACACACATATAACACATATGTATAAAATAGATAAAATGCTGTTGTTAATTTATATATAATCTAACATAATAGTTTAAGAATTTTAGTATTAAAATTTAGTATATAAACTGCCCTGTATTTATTTTGTAGAAAATAAACTGCAGGAGCTTACTGCGAAAAGAAGGTGTTTGTCTGAAGATCTAAAAGCAACTGTGCAAGATATACAAGATATATATGAAATACCAAAAAGTTCTTCAGAAAGAGTTCATGTTACAGGACCCAGTGGCAAGTAGAGAACAGATTGTTTAGATTTTTTTTAAAAAATGTTCAATTTATTTAGTAATTTGTTCGCTAAAAGGATAGAGAAATTTTAAGACATACAAATGCTGGTAGAAAGGTGGTGGGTAGCGTATTATCTGTAGCCAGGACTGGACATTTGTCAGATGACGCAAACATCTCAATAAAAGTGTGCTTCTGCTCACTTTATTGTATGGAAGTGAGAGTTAATGTATGTCAGAAGACATTCCTTATACATTTATCCACAAATGCATTAAATAGCCAAGGAGATATTGCACACCCTTGTCTTAACCCTTGCTCAATGTAGAACCATTTGCTAAGTATTCTGATTATTCTCAATAATGCTTTTCTTCCAAATTATACCACTCTTACTGCATTCAGCATCCAATCTTTAACCACAAACTTGTACAAAGATTCCATGATTCTTCGCTTTATCATATGCCTTCTCTAAATCAACAAATGTACAATAAACTAACTTTCTCACATTCATATATTTCATAGTAGAGCAAGAATCTGGTTGGTATAGCCTATACCCAGCAAAAAGTCACATTGCAGTTCTGAAATTTTGTACATTATCACCTCTCATACCCTTTCAGTTAGAATTCTACTAAGCATCTTTCCAAGCACACTGAGCAGTTTTTGTTCACTCTTGCAAACTGCACACATAATAAAATGAGATAATATTGATGATTATAGTAATGATGTTTCTATCATTATTGTCTCATTTTATTTTGTGTTCAATTTGTATTGTTTCCCCCATCATTTTTAATGGATTTCCACAGAGGTAACTACATCCAAAGGTACCTTCTATTCTACATCAATTTCAAAGCTTACTATCTATTAAGGACTGACCTTGTAATCTAATAGTCTCACTCTTTAATCACCTTCCTAAACTGATGGCTTTCACATCTTGGAATGTGACATTCTGCATTAAGAATCAACCTCTAACAGTTTTCCCAAAAGAAATGTCCCTATACACATGACTACCCACTGAGAATATACTGTATTTATCGTCCCTTCTGAACTATTTGCTTTTCTTTATTCAATTCCAAACCAATGCTGCTTTAACACATGCCAGTAATGACAAGTTTACTTGCAGTAGTAATATCTACCATGATAACTTGTGGTAGAAGACTGAGAAAGAAAGTTATGAGGGGAAAAAGAGATGCAGAACAATCATACAGAGGCTATTCAAGGAAAACCATTAATTTGTCTGCAAAGAAGAACATGTTTGATTTAAATGTGCAGAAAGCCAGGGGGAAAGAAAAAGCTTTATGAACACTGTTCCATTTGACAAGCTGCAACTATATTTATTGCAAAACTGTAACTACAGATCAGGACTGAAAAAAGGGGCATTTGGGAAAAAAACGGCAGTGTTTTAGAAACCTGGTCATCTAGATGTTCCATAAAATTTAAGCAAACAAAGGATGGTTAGTCTAAGAGTGACAGTGACAGTGGCACCATCATTTGGCAGTTCCTTTGTTACATGCTGTGGCTGCACCTGGGGGAAATGCCTTCTGTCCCATTTCTTTTCAAGCATACTCTCCACTGCCAAACCTACTTCACAGTTCACCTGACACTGGTGATATTAGAACAATGATGACATGATTCTAAGTAAAAGAATTTCCAAACTCCGAATAGTTGAAGTCTTAATAAAGCAGGTTCTGCCTTTGGGAGCTGTAGATAATTTGGTCACCATAATGCTAATTCTGGTAATACCTATAGTTATAAAGACATTAAGATTATATTTAGATCTATTTTCCTGTCAGAACTGGAGATAGTGGTTTTTCTGAAAAAATAGATTATTTTTGAATAGCTATATTATTATCAACTAGGATTGCTTTCCATGGAATTTACATTT